TCATTCTCTTTTTCCTCAGTCAGCATCATTAATCCACATACAAGCAAGCACACAGTAATTTATGCTAAACAGACAACATACAGCATCAATATCCCGGTCATTTAATCCATAATCAATAAAACAGTAAAATATGCATACGAAACTATAAAATGAAAACATCGAACCTCATGCTGCATTTAAAACTGTAAAACATGCCAAATAACAGTTAACCGACAAATACACTAGACTTGGGCTTCATTAGCGACCTTAAGCAATTTCACACATTCGTTGATTCATGAAATACCGTTTTATCATTTATTGAACTTTAAAACTGTGATAGGAAATAAGGTGAGGGGTCCTTACACGTTTCGGGATCCGAACACGGCTTCACAGTGCGCCTACAGGCTGTCCCTAATTTTCCCTGAATTTTTCTCGGGGAACTGAAACGCACTACTAGTACCTACACGTGTTCCAAAAAAATCCCAAATTAGGCCCAGGGCCCCTTTCGGCCAATATCGCAACTCCGGCACGGCGACTCCGCCGTGCTCCGGCGACGGCACCGCCGCTGGCGGCGGCGATTCGCCTCGGGCTGGCTGTTTTCGGGCGTTTCTGGCTGAATTCGGCCACACTCGCATCGGTCCCTGCGAGAAAACAACCCTAGGGCCCTCGGGGGGCCAAAAAATCACAGAAAAACGGAGCTTACCGGCGGCGGCGCTCTCAGGTGCGGCGGCTCTCCAGCGAGGTTCGTGTTTTGGTGATTCGGCTCCGGTCAACCTGTAGAGAAAAGAATGGTGATCACGGTGATATAAAAATTGCATCAAACGGAGGCCGGGAAGGGCCTCATCGGAGGCAAAAACTGAGAAGGGGCGCGGCGGCGCCGCTGGGCTTCGGCCGTGTATTCCGGCCGTTTGGCCGGGATTTCGGCTCCGATTTAGCCACAGAAGGAATCAGCGTGGAAAAACGAGTCGGGGGTACGAAATTTACCTCGATCGGCGGTCGAAAATTTCCCCGGTGCGGCGGCGGGTGGCGGCGTCCGGCTTCTGGTTCGTCTTCTCCGGCGAGCGGCAGGCGGCTAGGGTTTGTGGTCTGGTGTGGGGGTTCTATTTATAACCCTTTGCCTTTTGATCTCAGCCGTCCATTTTGTTTTAATCTGGGCCGTCCGTGCGATTTCATCTGGGCCGTCCGATCGCACGTTTGATCTGGGCCGTCCGATCGCGCCTACGCGGATCGCCAACGTGGCCCGTTCCGGAACGACGTGGTCTTGCCACGTGGCAGGTCCCGGTTGGCCGGAACAGCTGACCGGGCCTGCTGACGTGGCTGCCGACGTGGCTTCTTTTTTTTTTCTTTTTCGGCCCCTTTCCGGGCGCTACATTCAATCTTATATGTCAACAAACTACTTCACGCACCAAAAAATTCTTAATCGGTAAAGTTTCAGTTTTTTTTCCTTTTCCAGCCAACAGAGGCCACCTAACCCCATTTCTTGTAGGTTTTCGTGCAAAATCGGTCAAGATTGGCCAAAATCGGCCAAGCCGAGAGGAGACGCTGCCAGAGCACGGCGGCAGCGGCGTGCCGGAACTCTAAACCAGCTGAAAAATTTAAAAATGCTTATTTTTTACCTTTTTGGGGTATTTTGGAATAAATGAAATGTGTTTTTTATTTATGCAGAAAAAAAACCCAAGAAACTCTAGAACTACCAAAAAGTGCAATGAAAAGACAGTATTTCGAACACTGATTTAGGGTAAGAATCCATCACCTTTTTTTTCCATTGCGGTTAATTAAAGTTTAATAAATAATAACGGTGTAATTTGTGAATATTAGAAATCCCTAATTAATTAAATACAGGTCACCTATGGAGCCGGTAATCAGTTAATACGAATTATTTATTTTACTTATATTGTCTATCTATTGCTAGAATTTATTTGTTTGCTTACCGCTTACACTTTAATTTATAGATTTATTTGTTATCTCGTTATTGATTGTTTAACCGTTATTCTCATTTATTGATTGATTTAAAATAAATGACATAATCACGTTTTTTTAAATTGTTATCGTATCAATTTATACTATCTATTTAAATATCGTTCCATAGATATGTAAATATGAAATGTTGATGTGTAATTGGTGGTTGGTTGATGACGTGAATATGTAGATAAAAGGCTTACTCAACATCATGGGAAATGGTGTACAGACCAGCACATATGGCAAACCCTACCATGGACATTATCTTAGTCAGACGAGGTTGAGAAGTCTCATACCAAAAAGAGTTGGGAAGTTGTTCATCCTCATACTGGATAGAGTATTGAGGCGGTTTTACGTTTTGGTACCCGTTACCGGATGGGGTTTGAAGATGGTCGGCTAATTAGTAAATTAAATATTGGATCCACGCGTAGGGAGAATCCCTATGGACCCCCAGATGTACCGGTAAATAGATAAAAAAGATAGGGTTGAGGATTATTGTATTTTGGAATATATGCGAAATTGTTATATTGATTATTGTTTTTACAAGTTGAATTTGAAAACTCAAGAGAATGAGTATAAAACCTACGTTTTCACATAAATGAATTACTAAAAGAAAATGGCTCATTGGTATTTATATTTTACTAACATTGGTTTCGTATCGGTGATAAGTGTGACATCTTATTGGGGTAGTATAACTAATCCATCTTGTTTGACCATTTTAGATAAAGAAGATCAAAATTCGGATCCTGAACAAAAAGAACGTTGTGACTAAAAGTTCTTTCACATCCCATCAGAGTTGCCCAACGGAAGTTGACCCTATATGATTTTAGTTATGTCTTTATTTTTGTTATTTTAAATTTTCTAAAAGAGACAATCTCGTAATTCTATTGGTATCCTAATTTATTGTGTAATAAATATAAACTCTAAACTCTTAATTATTTCTGTTATTATCTTATTAATTCAATATTTTTATTAAGTTTTATATTTTTACATAAATAATTAAGAGGAGGAAGATCGTTGTAACGTTCTTTTTGTTAGATGAGGCGTTTAGGAGGAAGAATGTATATTTCTTGCTTGATCCGCATATTCAATTACAAAGGATATAAATAGGTGCATACCATGACATTGAATTAAATTCATAAGCTATCATATACATATACATCTTAAAATAACGAATACATTGAATAAATTCTTGCAACTAATTTAAACATTCATGAATCTTCAAATTTCAAATTAATCCCAGCATTAGTTCAAATTTAGTATTCATCCATATATGTAGTAGGCATGAAGGAATGAGTACAACGGCATCATCAGCTTCCACGTGTGCATGAATTGACGGCGTTAGATGTCTCCTAACATTCCAGGGGCTTATTTGAACATGTTTTAATAATACAAGGTGTAATTTTGTATTTTGGCTGATCATCATTGGATAGGCTTTTACTAGAACAAATTATTCAATAACTTATGAAACAAAGTTTTGACACATAATTAGAACAATAATAATAATAATATTAAAATCACGTGCACCCAAAAAAGATATGTGTAAGATAAATAGATAACATCAAATTTAAGTATTAATTACTCGAATTAGGATACACACATATGTTAAGCTAAGTTTTCTTCGATATTTATTTATTTTTCTCTAAAGTTTTTCCTTTCTTTATCATTCTTGCCACCGCATGTTTCTTTTCATACTTATACATAAATAAATACGCATATAAATATGATTTAGTTTTTATTGTATCGTTCCCATTTTTTGTAATTAATAATTAATAATTAATAATCCAACAATAATGAATCAAATTATTTATTTCATTTTTGGCATATCATTGAGAAATGATCAAATAAAAAAAAAAATCAGTCGAGAAATTCTATGGATATAATGGGTTTAATTTATTTGTTTTTTTTTTATAATTTTTAAACAATATTTTAAAATGAACCAATCTTGTTTATGAGATTATTTTCTTCTCTTTAAATGTTTAATATTTAAATAATTTTAGAATAACTATAAGGCACTCTATAGTACATATAGTTAGAAAAAAAAAATATTTTTAATATTATTGGTCCTTAATCTCAAATCTTTTTTCTATAATTTTGTAATTAAAACAAAATAATCATATTTTGGAGTGGATTAACTTTTAAATTTTTCCTAGTTTTCAATTCTTAAAGACAAGTATTTATTCACGACAATATCTAAGAAGTATATATACAAAATAATCCAACACAACAAAAGTTAAATTTTTTAAAAATAATTAAAAATAATTTTTAATTAGATTGTTGATCCAAAATTAATACTTCCAATTTTTTTTTTTTGTTAACAAGTTTTATTCATGCTTTTAAAACTATTATAATTTTCCATAGTTTGGTCGCTCTAAATTGTAACATTTATGATATTTTGTCCGAGATTTTGTAATTAAAGTAATTGACATCCGACCAGTTAATTTGTTGCTACATTGGAATTTGGAGATTACTTTTACGTTTTAATTATCTTGACCCTAATTCAATTTTTATACAAGTAAAAAAAAAATTACAACCTAAATTAGATAAAATTGAAACAAAACAAAAATACACTTAAACTAAATAAAGGTAAATTCCATTCTTTTTACCCATTTCAATTTTTTTTATCACGTTTTAAATGGAAAAAATGTTGGGAGTCTAAAATTAATTTATATAACTCACGTAATATCATATAAATTATAATCAACAATTAAAAATTTAAAAAATTAAAAACAAAAAAAAGTTAGGTTTTTGTGAGGATAAAGACCAACATAAAAATGGAAGCTTGAATTTGGATAAGACAGCTGCCCGAATGAAGGATAAACAACTCTTTTTAGCCATGCTTATCTGACGTGGAATTTTTAGCCAACCGAATCATCTGTATCTCCCGTAAAACATAAAAACAAAATTAATTAAAATACTCGACTTAGTTAGCTGCAACTTCCTAACAAAGACAATCATGTGATTCAATTTAATTTAATTACCATTTATTCTTTTGCATAATTTAATTAATACATGTACTTTTTTTTTTTTTTTTTTAGTTAACTTCAAGGAATAGTTACGTGTTGATTTCTTCTTCTAAATCCCGATAAACTTGTAAACATCTTGGGCGCTTTCTCTTCCTTTCTCCCTTCCTTTTCAATTATCTCCTTCTTCCTCGGCCACTCTGTTTTTGCAGACTCTCTTCTCCAACTTCCAGCTGGGTTTTAGAGATGATTCAGAGGAGTTCATGCTTACGCAGCTTGCTCCAATCTCTGCGTTCTGGTTCTTTTTCTGATCTCAAGGTTGTATTTGATCATATTCCTTTACCGTTTTCAGATTTTGATAGTCTTCTTTACTACCCATTTCTACATAATTGCTGTATGTACATATATATATATATATTCACAAACACTGTGTATATAAGGAATGATTTTTGGCATGGTGTTGATGAAGGGTATGCTTTAAATTTGAGAATGAATACGAAAAGTTGCAGAGAAACTGACATCATTTATGTTGAAATTTAAAGTTTGCGTGAAAATTTATTCGCACGTGTTTGATCTTCAGTAAATATTCTTTTACCGGGTTAAGCTTTTTGGAGTTCATATTCTGCGTGTTTCCAGGTTGGAGGCCAACGTAGATATCCATCTATGGCTGGTGCTTCTCTACAGGAACAGCTTAAGCCATCTAGTTCCAGGTAAAAACAAAGTGGTTCATTTTCCATGTTCTATAAGTTAACCTTTTTGACTTTTTTTCTACTTGTTGGTATAGAATGTTAAAAAATACGTTTCACTGTAATTTGTAGTGAACATGAGTATGCTAACGTGGATTGGGATGATCTTGGATTTGGGATAACACCGGCAGATTATATGTATAGTATGAAATGTTCCAAAGGGGAGAATTTTAGAGAAGGACTAGTAATTCCCTTTGGGAATATTGAGTTGAGCCCTTCAGCTGGAGTCTTAAATTATGGACAGGTAAAATTAAATTATGTTCATCCCAAACATACCCTTCAAAATTCTGGGTCTGTCCGATGAAATTTGTGTAATAAATTCTTCTTTAGGGAATTTATGAAGGTACTAAGGCATATAGGAAAGAAGACGGAGGCATTATTCTCTTTCGTCCCGATCAAAATGCCATTCGAATGAAGATTGGTGCAGAAAGAATGTGCATGCCTTGCCCTTCTGAAGATCAGTTTATTACCGCCGTGAAACAAATTACATATGCTAACAAACATTGGGTATGGTTCAAATTTTAATTTTATAAAATGTGATTTGGTTTAAATTTTAAATTCATAAAAAATGAGATTTTTTAGTGCATACTCTTTTAGTATATGTATACAGAGAAAAAGTAGTAAAACTGAGAGAAGTATTTTGAGCAGGTTCCTCCTCCGGGAAAAGGGTCTTTATATATTAGGCCTCTACTTATAGGAAGTGGTCCTGTACTGGGTTTGGCACCGGCACCTGAATATAGATTCCTCATATATGCTTCCCCTGTTGGCAATTATTTCAAGGCAAGTGTTTTTGCTTTTTATTCTTCACCCATTCCAAATTTGATTCTCAGCAAAACTGGCGTTTATATATTATATATGCACACACCTATATGTTCATTAACTCTTGTCTACAGGAAGGCACGGCGCCTTTGAACTTATATGTTGAGCGAGAATTTTCTCGTGCGGTTCCTGGTGGATGTGGAGGGGTGAAGACAATCGGTAATTACGCTCCAGTAAGTTAATTATTCTCGTTAATATTTAATTCGTGTAATTTAATATTATAATAAATAATAAAATTATATTTGAAAGAATGAAATAAATATAGATACGAAAGATCTAATTTATTATTTAAAAATAAAAAAAAATTAAATATTACATGTAAAAAATTATTATGTTTGACTATAGGTTTTAAAGGCACAAATGATGGCGAGAAAGCAAGGATTTTCGGATGTCTTGTACCTAGACGCCGTGAATAAGAAAAACCTAGAGGAAGTTTCTTCTTCTAATATTTTCGTTGTGAAGGTTGGTGTTGGTGTTGTTGGTTGATAAGAAAATTGTACTTATATTACCGAAAATTTATAAATAATCTTTAATTTTTACAGGATAAAATTATCTCGACTCCTGTCACAGTCGGAACAATTCTTGAAGGTGTTACTCGAAAAAGTGTTGTAGAGATTGCTTGTGATTATGGTTATCAGGTTATTTTCTTGTACTTTAAAATTCTACTGTGTATACAAATTTTAAGTGAGTAATTTTTTTAGTATTTTTCTTTTAAATTTATGTTATGAAAATTTTGGAGAGGGAAGCAGGTGGAGGAGCGAGCTATTCCGGTGGACGATTTGGTTGAGGCAGATGAAGTTTTCTGTACAGGAACTGCAGTAGGCCTTGCTCCAGTAGGCAGTATAACATGCCAAGGAAAAAGGTTTATATAGTCTCTATTAATCACTTCTATACTTGCATAACCTAAATTCATTCTTTACATCTTATTGAACTTTGAATTCTTTTTGGGTATGATTCAGATTCGAATTCAGAATCAGTGGCGAATCTGTTTGTAACAATTTGTACACCATTCTTCACGGAATCAAAACAGGTAGAATTGAGGATAAAAAGGGATGGATCATTGAGATCATTTGAACTATATTTGCAGGCTTATTAATCCTTCCTGTAATTATGAATAAATTGTGGGTAAACATTTGTGCATTGAAATCGTTTGAACTATAAAATTGAAAACATAAATCAATAGTTACAATATTTTAGAGAGTCAGCTTGGACTCTTATTATCTATACATTTTTGTATATTACGAAATATTAGATATGTATATATATATATATATATAGTCACAAGAAACATCCTGCAATGGGCTTTTAATCCCAAAACCAATCTGGCTATCAAAAAGAGTCAAGACCAATTTGGGCCATTCCCGGTTTAATTGGGCTGAGCCCTCGTGTGTATAGGTCATATTTGATGGATAAATTTTATAAAATATATAATCTATTTACAACTTTATATTTTTATTCACATCTAAATAAAATATCATTGAAAAAATTATTTTTATTTTTATAAAAAAAATTTTCTTACTACAATGACAACTTTTTTTGTTAAAAATTTACTAATTAAATGCTTGTTAATTATTATTGTAATTTTCACTGGATGAAAAATTAACCCCGCCGAAAAAAAAAAAAAAAAAAAAAAAAAACCAAAATCAATCTTTTACTGTATATATTTTTAGGGTTTGCCTGTCGAAAATCATATCAAGCATATGTTCGTTAAAGATCTCACAACAATTATAATT